TTTTTTTTTTTTTGGCTACTAGATTTTGCAATTCCAGTCTATACAAATTGCAGAATCACGGGAATTTAGTTACAATTATGTTAAGTTGTTTCCAAATAAAGCTATATTATTAAGTACTACTACTCTTTACTTTCACATGATTCGTTTCGGGGGTTATACCTAACTGGTGAATTCACAGAGAAGTTTAATCGTTAATACTTTTGTAGATAATTACTAAGTAGAGTACGTTTTGGCTTTTTTTTCATTCATACTTATCAACCGTTTAATTAAACACTTCCCTAGATGGACCTAAATTCTAATCTTCACCTGATTTTCTGGACTCAAATGCTTTTTGTTGACGGATTTGCCCCCGTATTAATGATATCTTCCGTTACAATGGGCCTTAAATGAAATTGGGCTTTAAATATGCCTTATCGGGCCCCACCTCTGAACTTTTTCTCTTCGTTTTTTTTTGTTTTTTTGCTTTTTGTTAAAAAAGTTATTTTTCTTTAAAAGAATTATTGTTCAAAAGTTTTCTTCTGGTCATCAATTATTATTTTTGATAATTTAATTTAGTGTATGATGGGTAACTGAAGACCATTAGATAAAACAGTAGCATATATCAATGAGAAATTTGAATACTTATCATAGATTTTCAATAAGAGTTTAAACCATTGGGCTTGAATAAAGATTTGCATAGTTAATTTTTTATTTGTATAGAAGATTATTATAATAATTGGATCATGTTGATATAATCTTGCAGGAGAAAATCCCAATTGAGGAAGTTTTCCAGCAGTTGAAATGTAGCAGAGAAGGTTTATCTGGAGCAGAAGGAGAAAACAGACTCCAGATCTTTGGTCCCAACAAACTTGAGGAGAAGAAGGTAAACTAAAACTTCTATATTAGTTTGGTTCAACAGCATTTGAAAACATAATAAGGGACTTATATATAAGTGAGTAACTATTTCTACTTAATAATACAAAAACAGGAAAGCAAGATACTTAAGTTCTTGGGTTTCATGTGGAACCCTCTCTCTTGGGTGATGGAAGCAGCTGCAATCATGGCTATTGCATTGGCTAATGGCGATGGAAAGCCACCGGATTGGCAAGATTTTGTCGGTATTGTTTGTCTTTTGATTATCAACTCAACTATCAGTTTCATCGAAGAAAACAATGCCGGTAATGCTGCTGCTGCTCTTATGGCTGGTCTTGCTCCCAAAACTAAGGTCCATTCCTCTTCTTATAACTCCTTTCAAGCTCATGTTTTTGCTTCATTGTTCTACTAGACAGACCTCAATTGTTTGGCACTTTGCAAATACATTATGTACTAGAAATTGTGTTTGAAACGATTTGAGACCATAATCCCAAAGCTTTATCGATATTTGGTTTCTTTTATAGGTTCTAAGAGATGGCAAATGGAGTGAGCAAGAAGCTTCTATTCTTGTTCCAGGAGATATTGTGAGCATCAAGCTCGGTGACATCATTCCTGCTGATGCTCGTCTTCTCGAAGGCGATCCTTTAAAAGTTGACCAATCCGCTCTAACCGGTGAATCGATTCCCGCAACAAAAGGTCCAGGTGAAGAAGTTTTCTCAGGTTCTACTTGCAAGCAAGGAGAGATTGAGGCAGTTGTAATCGCCACTGGAGTCCATACGTTCTTCGGTAAAGCGGCTCATCTTGTTGACAGCACAAACCAAGTTGGACATTTCCAGAAAGTTCTTACAGCAATTGGAAACTTCTGCATAGTTTCCATAGCGATCGGTATTGTGATTGAGATCATAGTTATGTATCCTATCCAGAGAAGAAAGTACAGAGACGGGATCGACAATCTTCTGGTTCTCTTGATTGGTGGGATCCCTATTGCAATGCCTACTGTTCTGTCTGTGACCATGGCTATTGGTTCCCACAAGCTGGCTCAACAAGGAGCTATCACAAAGCGAATGACCGCTATCGAAGAGATGGCCGGTATGGATGTTCTCTGCAGCGACAAAACCGGGACTTTGACTCTAAACAAGCTTAGTGTTGACAAGAATCTGATTGAGGTTTGCGCTAAAGGCGTTGAGAAAGACGAAGTTTTGCTTTTTGCTGCGAGGGCTTCAAGAGTAGAGAATCAAGATGCTATTGATGCTGCTATGGTTGGAATGCTTGCTGATCCAAAAGAGGTAATATATAACTTTTAGATACTCTGTTTTTCCTCTGTTTTGAAAACAGAATGTTCTGAC